AAGTTTCACAATCCATAATTCAGTGTTGCCCTACTGCCCCCTCCCAAGACTATCAAACAAAATGAGAAAATGATTCTATCTGCATATACACTCTCTTCCTTCTTTACCTTGCAGCTCCTGTTAGGGAGACAGGTTGATCAATCAGGTATTTGACTTTATTCCTTCGATGAGGGTGGTGCCAAACTTGGTCTGGAAGACGGGGAAGGACACCCTGTGGAAAAAAGCAAACCCCACAATTGTCCAGCAGAGGGCACTCTAGTCAAAGAAAAATGTTACTAATTTGAATATTTACATCAAGGACATCTGAATGCTTTATAGAGAGAATGTTTATTCAAAAAACATAAAGAAAGGCAAAGTAGACTATTGAGAGCATCAATGTGTCTGGTAAATTTACATAAAAACAGGTTTATTGAAATACTCAAGCAATGCAAACATGCTCAAAAGACCTGCAGATTTTTTGCTTTGGTTTTTTTGGTTTCATTTTTTGAGACAGGTCTCATGGTGTAGCCCAGTCTGGCCTGAAACTCCTGGCAATCCTCCTGCTTCAGCCTCTAAGGGGATGGAATCATCAGTGCCAGACACCATGTTCAGCAAGATCTGAATTTTCTAATTGGCAAGAGGGCTCAGCAGCTAAAAGAGCCGACTCCTGAAACCTGTCCTCTGATTCTAGCCCAAACCTACACATGAGCTAATAGTATGTTTTTAATTTAAATCTTCATTTAAAAAGTATCTGGATTCGCACCTTCTGCTCACCAAACAATGATGTGAATACAAAATAAAAACGAAAATGAGCCCAGACGTTCTCGTATGTATATACGAACCTTTGCAGCTTTAGCTTTCTTAATTGGCAGTAAGTTTTCAGGACAGGGACCAGCATTGGCGGCAGAGTTCAGAGAGAGAAGAACTTCCTCGGGAATGAATTCATTCTTAAAGGAAGTAGGAAAGGGTTTGAGATGGTCCACGGTGGCTTTTTTCTCCTTTAGCTCAGGAAACCCTAAGAAAGTAATAGGAAAGAAAAACTTTTAGTGGAGTGTTCTGGAGCCTGGAAAGTTTCCCAGACTGCCTCATCAATCTCATACATGTTTCTAACTAGAAGGGAGCTTCTCACGCAGAGGCCTAGCAACAAGTAATACCTAAAACACAGAATAGCATCCAGTCCACAGAGGGGTGGAGGGAAGGGAGCGGGGGTGGGGGGTGGGTTTGAGAACACAGAGAGAGATACAAAATAAATCGCTTGGGTCACAGAGTGGGTGGGTGTACAACCAGTTCAGTGAGACCAGCCTGTTCAACATAGAAAGTGAATAGGTAGCTAGCTCAGGGTAGAGGGCGTGCATGGTGTGTATAAGTCACTTAGTTGAAACATCCATACCTCCTAAATAATAAAAGGTTTGCTGGAATTGTAGCAAAAAATAACAAAACAAACAAGCCAGAAAGCCCTTAAGTGACAGTAAGACTGGAGAAAGGAGAAAGCGTCAGTCCAATGAGCAAGGATGAAAGGATGACTACTTGATTCTTATTCTAGTGAAGGTCTACATTTATCATAAATCTTTTTCTTTTTCTTTTTCTTTTTTTTCTTTTTCTTGAAACAGGGTCTCACTCTGTAACTCTGATTGTCCTGGAACTCACTATGTAGACCAGGCTGGCCTCAAAATTCGCAGAGATCTGCCTGCCTCTGCCTTCGGAGTGGTGGGATTAAAGGTATGCCCCAGCCCCAAGGATGGAAATCTTAAGGAATCTCAGAAATTTTCTTGAATCTTATACAAATAGGCCTAGCGTACTAAGCTGTGCTAATCTCATCCACGTTACTACGTTGTAAAAGCTCCCTTAAAGTCAAAGCAAGAAGCCAGACAGGTGGTGTTTATACAGCTGTTACTATCTAAACGACGATGAACCGGGATTCCGACTTGGTGACCGTCCAGGCTGGACTGAGAAGGGGAGAATGGATTGTGAATTCTGTCAGTGGCCATCAAAGTTCTGTCCGTGGCATCTTTAAAGTTTACCTGCGGCCTCCTCCTTGACTACATTCAGTTTTGACCGTTTGGCCTCAAGGGCTGATGGGGAGTTCAGCGAAGTGTCCGACAGTTTGTGGAAAGACATAATGAACAATGCCAGCTATCACTCTCAGAAATACTCCTCCAGAAAGTCAATTCAGAAACAAATCAAAATCGTGTTGGAACTTTCAAGCCGCCCCGTAATTCTGTAGGCAAAACAAAGCAAATGAACGAAGAGACCCCTTGAGCGTTTGTGTTCAGGTTAGAATTCAGACTCATCCAGCATGGCCTCCCTTCTTTGGGGAGCCCTCAATATTCTCTAGGATAACCTGACGTGACAGGGAGGGGTACAGGGTTGGTCAGAGTCGGGACCCAGCCCGGCAGAGTCAGGCTCCACCGTCCTACAGACCACGGGCGGGTCGGCGCGGCCCAGCATCCCGGAGTGGGGAGAGGCTCCCACGGTCCCTTCGGCAGAGGCCTGCAGACACGGACACCCACGGCTGCGCCCACAGTTGTGTTTCCCGCCTGGCGTCGGTCGGCCGGCCCTTTCCTGAACCGCCCTGCGTCGTCATAGCAACGCAGGACCCCCGTGTCCTAGCAACCTGTGGTTCGAGCTGCCTCCGGCGGCGCCATCCAAAAAAACAAATAAAAGAAAGAAAAACAGTCTCTACACTCTCTAGATGTCTCCGTGTGGTCGTGGGTAGTAGCAATAAGACAAACACTTCATCGGTTGTGGTCTTGGAATGGGAGAGTCTCTCGTGGCCGCGCTTCCGGCTGCGGATTGCGCAAGCGCAGACCCGCCCTCCCTTAGTGGCTGGGCCCCCCCCCCCCCCGCCCATACGAGAGGCTGAAGTAGAAGTGAGTCCTTGTTTCCTTTCTTGACTCTGTTCAAGGTTAGCTCAGTCTACTATGAGTCTTGAGTCAGCCAGGACAACTTAGTGAGAAGCTTGTCTCAGAATGAGGGGAGAGGGAGTAAGCTAACACACACCCTAGTTCTGTTGTGCAAGTAACTTTTATGCATTCAGTAATTATTTCGTGGTCACCTTATTTCAGTTTCCACCAGCAGCAGAAGGAAAAGACAAGTATCTGAGCAGGATTTTCTTTCTTTCTTTTTTCATTTATTTATTTATTTAAAACTACAGTTTATTCGCTTTGTGTCGCAGCCATAGCCCCTTTCCTCACCCCCTCCCAATCCCACCCTCCCTCCCTTCATCTCCCATGCCTCTCCCCAAGTCCACTGATAGGGGAGGTCCTCCCTAGTCTATCAGGGCTCATCAGGACTCGCTGCATTGTCTTCCTTTTTGGCCTGGTAAGGCTGCTGCCCCATCAGGGGAAGGTGATCAAAGAGCCAGCCACTTAATTCATGTCAGAGACAGTCCCTGTTCCTCTTACTATGGAACCCACTTGGATACTGAGCTGCCATGGGCTACATCTGTGCAGAGGTTCTAGGTTATCTCCATGCATGGTCTTTGGTTGGAGCATCAGTCCGAGCTGAATTTTCTTACCTAGGCTAATGTAGGAATTGTGTTCCAGGTTACAAAGAACCAAATGGGCCCCGATTTGCACTTGCAGTGGCATTGACCCTTTAGCTGTCTACTGTGGCCCTGCCTTTTTTGGGAGGTGGAGCCCGGGCCAGGATTGAGATAGGATGTCGGTAGCCCAGGTCTCAACCTCCCAAGTGCTGGCATTATTGCTGGGAGCCACCAAACTGGACCTGCCAGCATTTGGCTCTTCCCAGCCTCCACAGCTGTGAGGTAAATGTCTTTCTTCTTCACAGACTTCCCATCGTGTGTGGTAGCAGCACAAGTGTACTAAGGACACCTTCTCTCCAAGGAACCTACGGATTGTAGGAGCTCATCAAGATCAGTAGCCAACAACATTCTTCCCATTGGGGCATCTCCAGAAGCAACAGGCACAAAATGACTTTCTACATTCTGTGTCCTGATCGGTCCCCCCTATTTCTGCAGTGCAAGGAAGTCTCTTCAGAAATTAAATGTGCCTGTTTATTGAACCAAATGGCTGTTCATTGTCATGCAGGAGCAAGTGACAGCATGAGAAAAATAAAAAAAAAACAATTTATGGAAGTTTAGGGTCCCTTTGTTCTCAAGTTAACAAGATTGTGTGTTGTGGAAGTTTTGGTTTATGATATGTAAACATGTTTTTGTTATAATTCCAAGTTGGAGGGGTAGTTTGTCCACACCTGTTAAGTGTCTTGTGCAGAGCATGGTCTTTGCCAGATGGAATTAGTTGACTCCTAAGGACTTTGAGGGGTACAAATATGATAGCCCAGAGGAAGAAGGCATGGCTGCTTGGAGGAAGACTGCTTGCTCCTGGTTCATCCTGCTGCTGTATTTCCTGTTTGCTGACTTGCTGGTTACCTGGACTTCTGAATTTCTTGACAACTGATATTGGAATCGCCCCCAAAAGAATCCTACGACCCCACAGTGGGAAGTGGCAAAGAGAACTTCAACCCTGTCCACATTAACCTTCTTTCCCTAGAAAGGGGGTGACTAGAAAGGGGGTAGAAGCATTTAAGAACCCTAAATAAAGTAGGTTTGATAAAAAGAAACTAGGTCACCAACTGTGCATCTGGTTTATGAAGCTGACATAGCAGTTTGTAAATTTAACGAAAGTTCGTGTGGCCAACCACATGGCTACTCACTTTTACAGATTTACTTTTGTTTCTCTTAGGTTATGTATGTGTGCGTGTGTACATGTGAGTGAAGATGCCCCCAGAGGGGAGGAGAGAATCAGATCCTCTGGAGCTGGAGTTAACAGGTGGTTGTGAGCCACCTGACATGGGTTCTAGGAACCAAACTCGGGTTGTCTACAAGAGCAGCCTGACCGCTTAACTGCTGAACCATCTCTCCAGCTCAACAACGTTGATTTTTTTTTTTTAAATACTGTTAGAATTGCAGACTTGAGTTTCATTTTTAACAAGAAAAACAAAATCATTAAATGGTAGACTGTGGTGGAGCACGCTTGTAACCCCAGCACGTGAGAGATGGAAGCAGGAGGATCCCGAGTTCAAGACCATCTTTAGCTACGTAATGAATTCTAGACCAGCTTGGGCTACATGAGAGCTTGTCTCAAGAACAAAAGAAATCTCAAATGAATTTTAACTTGAGAGCAGCATATTTGTGCAAAGCTGTGTTCTCTGCATTGGTGCTTTCAATCGACTTTGAAGATACACCCTGCAGTAGTGAACATTCAAGTCAAAACCCGATACCCTATGTAAAAATAATCAGCTAAGCACGGAAGCACACTCCTTAAGTCCCAGCACTCGGGAGGCAGAGGTAGAGGTGGAGCTTCAGGCTACTCAAAGAGACTATCTTTAAAAAAAAAAATCTTCAGAGAGGAGGAGCTGTGAGCACTAGCCCAAAGAGCGCAACAGCTGTGGAAGCTCTTCACTAAAGAGCTGAGCTTTCAAAAGACTGATAGGAGCCACTACGAAAAGGAGCAGTCGCTCTCTGTGTATGTGTGGGGTGGGGGGCATGAGGTCCTACACCAACTGCTCCAGGACTTTTAGAAAGTCATGTTCAACATATTGGAGCAAGTTGACATGTCATGAATGCAAGGCCACACAGGTGGGACCAAATAAAACTGCCCAGAGAAATTTCTCTAAGACCTAGTGCATACTCAAAAGTGAAATAAAAAATCTTCATGGGTGGCTTTGAGAGCTCCAAAGAACTCATCTTCCTATTGTTTGGCACAGCATGAAAAATGTGAAGCAACTGGTGACATGACTGGCCAGCATGGAAAGAGGGACTTTGCTTTCATAACCTCTGATGCTCATGACCTGGGTAAGACTATCATTCCAAAAACTGAATGACTAAGAAAGTTTTCTGGGTCCAGCCATCTCAGGAACAAGTTCCATCCTTCTGGCAGGGTCAAAACTGAGTTCATAATTCCCAGGTCTAGGAACCCAACTCCTACCCCGCTTCTTCAGATGTTTCATGTTTGTCTGTTAATCAGTAAAGGACATAAAGAGGGAAGTTGCCATTTTATCCATTATCTAAACTAAAGCACTCAAGTTGTAAACAAGTTTGCCTGTCTTGACTTAAAGCTTGCCCACTCCTTTGTTCCCCTATCATTCTAAATTCCAGGTCAAAGTCCAAGAGAGGATATGACTGCAAAAAGCTGGGTCAAGGCTCCTGAAACCAGAGGACCTGGAAAGGCCCAGTCACTCCTGTTTACTTCCTTGCTCAACCCCTTGTGTCAAAATATGATTGGTCAGTGCAAAAGCCCAATCCATGGCCCCCTCACTTTGTGTTCCTATCCTTTAAAAATGTACAATTTGCCTTTGGGGATGAGGTTCAGATCCCAAACTGGCCACCTCCCTGTGCGCACAGAAAATAAAGCTCGAATTTTAAGCTTCTGTCTCTGAAGTGAAGTTTTCTTGGCTTCCACCCCAAACCCAACAAAATGAAGACAGCTCTGTCAAAGCAAGGGATAGCCAGTGTTTCCTCTAGTCAAAGACGTCAAAGTGGTTATAGAAACTCTGGTGGTTTCACTAAGGAAGTTTGATGAACAGAAACTCTGGTGGTTTCACTAAGGAAGTCCGATGGTAATGACGATTCTGGCTGTGGCAGTTTGGGCAGCACCTGTGGTGATGGTGCTGGTGCTAACGAGGTGGTTGTCATGGACTTGCTAACGATGGTGGTTGTGGAGGACTTGGCCTTGGCTATTCCGGAGGAATATGCGTAGCGGAGGCTATGGGGGTGGGCAGGGTTATGGAAAGCAGGGCAGCAGCTATGTGGGAGCGGCAGCTGTAAACGGGACACTGGAGGAGGCAGCAACTGGCAGTGGTGCTGGGAGCCGCAGTGACTTTTACAGTGGCCGTTTCTTCAGTCAGTCTTCAAATGTCAGACTCAGGCAGCAGCTCTGGCCTTCTGACAGTAAAGGCCAGTACTATGCCAAGGTGCGTAACTAAGGTGGCTAAGATGGTGTGGTGGTTGTTTACTTCCAGGAAACAAAGTTTAACAGGGAGGAAGAGCAGGGGAAGCTACAGGATACAGCAGATTACTGGGATTGCAGGTTCTCAGCAGTTACTGGGAACTCAGTCCAGTACAAAGGTGGCGTCACAGCCTATCACAAAGATGTTTTAGACAATACCTGTGAGTACTGGGGCGGGGGGACCCTTCAAAGACGTAATGTGTCAAAGTATGTAACAGGGCTTTCTGTTGTTTCAGTACTGGGGGCGGGGTTATAGTTTAGAATTGTTTATACCCATGCTGTTAACTGATCAAGATGCTGAATAAAGGGATTAGGGGCTAGGTGAATGGCCCAGTGGGTACAAGCACTTGCTGAGCAAACCAGTTTTAGCACCCAGGGTCGTGAGCTGTGCCCATTAGTGGATGCCTTTAATCGTGGCACTGGAGAGGCAGAGACAGGCCAATCTCTAGGCCAGCCTGGTCTGTATAGGGAGTTCCAGACCAGCCAAGGCTTCAGGACAGGACTAGCTCAACACCACCACCACCACCTGGGTGTGGCTGGCCCCATCTGCCTGTAACCCCAGTGCTGTGGAGACAGGAGGATCACTGCGGCTTTGCTGACCAGCCTTGTAATCAAAATGGTGAGTCCAGATTAAGGGACTACGGCAGAAAATGATAGAGCAAGACACACAATATCCTCCGCTGACCTCCCCATGCTCCCACAGGTGCAAACCTCTAAACATAAGCGCACACTACACTGAAGTTTGTTTTTTGTTTTTTTTTACCTAAAGATTTCCCACATTCTTTACATAAGCAGTATTTTGCCATTTTGTATATGAACACCAAATTTAAGGACTTTTCAGAAGAATGTGAGCGATACATTCATCCTATTAGTGATGAAGGAGCTGCAGGGAGGTAATCAAAATTCACGAAGCAAATAAATTAACCAGAAGCTACCTTTAATCACACACACACACACACACACACTTTAAAAACAGCTCTCACTTCTGTGACCCATGACATGCAGACCCAAACACAAAGGCAGCTGCTGTACAGTCCAAATGGCAGGCCTTGACAGGGCTTCGGCTCTCTTCACACTGACACATGGACATTCAAACTGCACCTCTGCACGACTAGGTGTGGGGGCCGCCTGCTTCAACAACATTCAAACGCAGGACAGCTGCCCTTCCATAAGACACACACCACCACAAGGCCCTGGGTGGCCTCCACTCACCTGAAGGCCAGTGCTCTACCAGTGGGCCTGTTGAAGTAGGAACGAGAGGTGGTGTAGAGCTGGGATGAGCATGGAGGAAATGGGGAAATACATGCATTTTCCAATTTAAACACAAAATAATCTGAGTCACTCCTGAAAATAATGCATTCTTTTTCTCAAGCCTAAATTAATTGAAAAGCATTGACAGAAGAAAAGGAATTCACTAAGGGAGCTGGGCATGGTGGCTCAAGCCTTTAATCCCAGCACTGGGGAGGCAAAGGCAGGAGGATCTCTGAGTTCGAGGCCAGCCTGGTCTGTGGAGTGAAAAGAAGTAGAAAAATAAATGAATTGCTTTATAAAAAAAAAAAAAAAAAAAAATTCACTAAGGATTTAGAAGACTCCAGAACTTTCCTACCAATTTACAGCTGACTGTTTCTATCTGCTAATTTCTCAGCCACCTATTGAACTGAGGACGGAAGAGGACTCCTATCTCTTTGTTTCAGTAACTAGCTATATTTATTTTCTATATAAACTTGCCTGATAGGTAATGCTTCATTCCAACATTCTAACACTCCATTATCTGGTAGACGCTATATTGACGTTAAAACCAACCAAACCCTTCCACAGGTGTCATTAACATGTGCTCGATTCCTCAAAACCTTTTCCTAGCTCTTACAAGGTCACAGTCATAACAGCCTAGAGACTGAGATTTCTTTGCCAGTGTGGGCCGCTACATGGTACCAGAAAAAATTCTGTGAAATTAATGCATAAGATTAGTAAGTGAGACACTTAAACCTTATTAATCAAAGTAATCAAAGTGATGAGCTATCTTCAGCTAAGAATTTTTTTTTCTAAGGTTGGGGCTCGGACCCAGCATTCCCAAGGCCATGGTCTTCTGGATCCTGCCTCCGAAGGCTATACAGCATTTCCCACGCCATCAGAAGTCCCCACTAGGTTCCTTCCTCTCTGCAGTGCTAGGACCTGGCTATGAGCTGTGCACACTAGTTGTAAACGCTTGATGTGAATGGCTAGGCAACAGCGGCAGCAGTGTTCTCTAGAAGCTTGCCAATGCTGAGCAGAGAAACCCAAGGGCAGTCCGGAAAGACAGCATGTGTTAAAACGACAAGAAAGGCGTGGCTCCAGCCCATTACCCTCAGGAGGCAAGGCAGGGGGCTGCATCTTGGGCAAGTCCCTGGTGGGCTGTGTAGAAGAGTAGCAGTAAGGACTTCTGGGGATCTTGCAGTTTTTAAGAGGTTCAGTCCAGACTTAGGTTTCCACTGTATGGAGAGCAAGGAAATAGTAAGGCTGTTTCTATGAGGTAGTTACCGTCCTCAACGTACAGATGAGGAAACCCCTGGTTCTGTGAGCAGGCGGCTCTGCCCTCGGGCCACTCTGATGTAAGTGCCCGGCTGTAGGAGTCCAGCTGGGGAGGTACACTGTTTATGTGATGGGGCCTGACAGACACCTGGATGCCAGGCTAGTCTCCAACCTTAACTGGTTGGGCAGCCAGGAATAACCCAGAAGTTCTGATCCTCCTTCCCATACCTCTCTAGAGCTAGGACTACAGTTATGTAGCACCGCATCCAGTTCATGCAGCCCGGGCACCATCGTATCGAGCAAGCCTATCAGGGGTTTGTGTGTGGTAGGCAAGCACTTCCACAAACCCCGAGCAATTTTTCTCTCCCCGCTACCTTTTTTTTTTTCTTTTGAGCAGAGTGAACGTACATTTGTTAAGGAAAGGTGAGAAAGAATTCACGAGGGGGAGGCCCTCCAAGGGGGATTACCCACAATTCATTTATTTTAAATGATGTCATTAATTAAGGTGGTTCTTAGCCTTCCTAATGCTGCAACCCATTAATACAATCTCTCCTGTTGTGGTGACCCCCAACCACAAAATTATTTTCGTTGCTACTTCGTAACTGTAATTTTGCTACTGTTCTAAATCATTATGTAAATATCTGTGTTTACTGTGACTCCTGTGAAAGGGTCATTTGAACCCCCTCCACCTGGAGCTGAGACCCACAAGTTGAGAACCATTGCTTTAGCTTCAGCCCCTCCCAAAAACATGAAACTGGACTTGCCTTAATTTTCTTACACCTGTGCAAACCTTTTTTTTTTTTTTTGGAATGAGCTCTCTTGACAACTAATAAATTCCATTTTTCCCTCCATCCCCAAGATAGGGTCTTTCTGTGTAGCCTTAGCTGTCCAGGAATTTCTTCTGTAGACCAGGCTGACCTCAAATGCATAAGTGATCCACCTGCCTCTGCCTCCTGAGTGCTGGGATTGCCACCGCTGGGCTAAATTCTATCTTTTTAGGCTATATAGACAAAATGAGTGATTTCCAAACATAATATAACTTGTCTAGAAAATATGTAATATTCAATTTTTAGGTAAGAATAATTTTAAAGTTTCAAAACAAGTAACACAGCACAAACGAATTAGTTCTGTAACAATCTGTTTGCATTGTACTTTTCTTAACCTGCCAACATCACCAGCTTTTACTTTGAATATAACAGGCATACATTTTTCTCACTGGCAAATGCTGCAATTACAGACAAGTTAAAAGCAGCCCCAGCCAGGTGTGGTGGTGCACACCTTTAATCCCAGTGTTGGGAAGGCCAGCATGGACAAGGCAGGGCTATGTAGAGAGACCCTGTTTCAAAAACAAACAACAAAAAACCAGCCTTGGTGCTCTAAATTCTAACATGAAACAAGCAACATTATCCAGACAATTTTAATACACCGCCAAAACAAATAAATAAATAAACCACTAAACTTTGACCCCTATCTTTCTAGGTGAGAGTGAGAATAAAAACATCCAATACAGAGGTAATAAAGGATCAACACAGACATCTAAATGTAAGTGAAATACTGTACAGAAAGTGTTTTTCTTATACGGTCAGTTCAAATCACAGTTGCTGTTACTAACCCTACTTTGTAGACAATAAGAAGTATTCTTAACAAAAACCAACTTTCACCCATTGGCACAACAGGGTATAATAAACAAACCTGCTTGGAACACATTTTTAGCAAGAGGTTTTGGTTTTATTTTCTTTTTAAAGGGTTCAGAAGATGGCTTGAAAAAAGGCTCTGTTTTTCAACATGGTCATGGTTGCCAAGCCAGTCTTCTTTCACTGAAGTGTCCAAGTCTTTAAGAGTTCTGTATTTCTGATGTTCTCTTAAGATGCTCTGAGAATTCTAACTAGTTTGCAGTCCTATACTCATTATTATCACCTAAAACTCTGGGAGGAAACTAATCTGGAATGAAAGGCCTTGTTGGGTGCGGCAGCACATGCTTGTAAACTCTCACACCTGAAGAGGCTGAGGCAGGAGGATGTGAGGCCCATGCCAGCTTGGGCTGCAGAGAAAGACCTTGTCTCAAGAAGAGTGGGTACTGGGGAAGAGCAGCCTCCATCAGGCCAACAAATGCAAAATCGAGAGCTGCTATAGAGTAACGCCCTTTCCTGAAAATGCATATATAATACTTCACAGAAAGGGATAGACACCCTGAAATCCCATCCTCTTTCATCAGAAGACTGGCTTATAACCAAATCCCAGGCCAAACTGTTTCCTCATTATATTTAAAATGCCATTACACAACAAAGTAACTGGCTTGATCTTTAAGACACATCAGAACTTAACAGGCTCTTAACACATCAGAACTTAACAGAACTTAGCAGGCTTCTTGAGGGGTTACGGTTCTGTGACAATACAGAACACTATTGTTTGGGAACAGAAAAAAGAAAAAGACCTGTGTGCTGAACGTGGGAGCTGATACGCAGAGACAGACCTAGCCCATCTGGGAATGTAGTGAATAAAGCAGAAAATGAAGCTGGAGATAGCTGGTTCAAATTCAGAGTGATTGCAAAGGAGCTTTACCTATCTTCTTGTGAGACCCAACATGATTTTTAAAATCATTCTGAAAAGACTTCCCAAATGCACATGGGTAGTTGCCAGAAGACCACAAAGCTTCTCCAATGGCTGTGCCGTGGGACCAGCCTGTGAGCAACTTGTAAGGCTCATTTCTTGGGGCGGGAGGTTGAGCTACAAGGTCCGACGCCGTTCCGATGCATGGTCCTCACACATGGTCTGACCCATGCACACAAGCACAGCGGGTCCCCCCGACACCAGGTGAGGAATGGGCACCTCAGAACTTGGAAATGTCACATAATGAGTACATGTCCTTACAAATGATCACACAGTAATTTATTTCATTTTAAAAATACTGTTAAAGTATAATGACTGAGAAGATGCTCCAGAAGCCAGCTTCTGGATCCTTAGTAGCCATTTCAGTATTATTAGTAGAGAGATTAACACTTCCATTATGGACTCACATGGACTCACTAGTCTACAAGGAAAGTCACTACTTGTTAAACAATAAGGCAACTGTACCAAAGGATATTTCTAAGTAACTTCAAAGAAGTTGTAACAAAAGAGTTTTTAAAACAAAAATCTTGGCCAGGCATGGTGATGTCTTCTGTGATCTTGGGAGGCCAAGGCAAGAGGTCAGGGTTTCAAGGCCAGCCAGGCAACACAGAAAGTTCAAGACCAGCCTGAGCTATATAGTTTGGGCTACATAGCAAGACCCTGCCTCTAAAAATCCAAACCAATAATAATAAAATCTTTCACAGAACTGCGATGAGAAAATAACTAAAATACATGACCAGCTAAGTGAATCTGTTTTAAAATGATTTTTGAAGTTTCAAAAGGAAATCTATTTTTCCCTTTCCACTTTTGACCTTTGAATTTGCACTAGTGTTGAGTTCAAGGTGAAAGAATGCTAATTGTTTCAAACAAATCACAACTTATACAGAATACGGGGGGGGGGGGGGAATAGACCTGAATTTTCAAAAATACAACTGTAGGTGCTGGGGTGTGGCTCAGTGTGCTGCCATTGAGCAAGGCCCTGGGTTCCATTCCCAGCTACAAGCAAAACAAAACAGAATAGCAAAAAAAGATATGAGCAGAATGCATAACAAGATTATCTTTGGAAAATAGGTATTTTCTCTCTTTCTACCATAAATAACAGATATATTCTTCTCCCCAATTGCACAGTTAACTAGCATACTTCCTAAGAGTGTACATGAAAAACTTCTAAGCCAGAGGTACTGAAATGATTTTTTTCCTAGTGTTTTGGCTAATTCATGGCCAAGATATGTTTAGTCTCTAGTTGGATAGAATCAAGGAAATAAACAGATAAAACTACCGAGGCCTGAGCTGAGATAACCCCACAAGAATCTGCCATTACCTCAGTTATTGGTCTCCTCTTTCCCCAATAGGAAACAAAACAAGAATAGCATTAAGTTAATTTCCCAGAGCCCAGCTTCAGGTGAGCCATCTGGAAAGGTCAGAGTGTCCAACAACGTGGCATAGATATATCCAGTATCTCTGAAGACTGCTGGCTCAGAGTCAGGAAGAATATCCAATCTTCAGAGGCAAGAAAGGAGGCAGAGCCGGGGCTTTTAAAACACATACCGACAAGTCCAGGACCGTGGCCGGACATAATCCAGAAATGTAGGCTATGATGGGGAAAATAAGAGAAGAACTGTTTATTGTTATGTCAATGGTACATGTTAATTAGGTACAGGGCAGGTATTGGCTGAGCACTAAATACTGTACTTTCTCTAGGCTGCCTCCCAGAATTTGACTGACCTTTAAGGTGTAAGAAACTCCCTGATTCAAAAGGTGTTGAGATGTTTTCTACTAGTATCACCAATTAATTCAACAGAGAAGCTTTTTAAGAAGTGTCTGAAGATCAGTAAACTGCATTCAGCTCCATGGACCATGGATTAAACGGTAAATAGGCACTGTGTCTCGTAGCATTGGGACAGCTTATTCAAGCCAAACTTGGTTTTAGCCTAAAATCTAAATAGTGGTAGGACTAGAATAATAAAGCATGTGCTTATGACTATAATTAAGGTTTTAAATTAGTGATCCAATTTGAGGTGAAGTATATTTCCAAAACAGAAAGATAAAACAAGCAAAACCTGAGCATAACCACAGGGGAAAAAAAAGAAAGAAAATAGTAGTAAAATTAAGGGAAACGCAATCTCAGAGTTGTCTGATATTTCTCCCTTGCTCTCCACTACTGTACCACCCTCCATAACACCACCCACCCTCTCACATCAGGGGCAACAAGCACCCTAGCCAGGCTGCCAACTCACGTTCTTCAGAGGACAGTGCTGACGGGCATACCATTCTTGCGAGTAAAAGCACACGATGACTCCTTGGCCCAGGAAAAGAGAAGCCCATACCATAATGTTCCAGATTGGCCTTTTCCGACTGTCATTGACAATGAAGTTAAAAGCCACTGCAGTTAGAAAGAGAACAAAAAATACAGTTATCAAAATGTAGTCCATCAGGGATGAGGGCTTAGATCCAGGCTGTGGCTGAGTCTCAGCTAGTGGCCATTCATACGCATCTGTTATCTTGCTCACTTACTCTAAAGTGGATGATACTTAAGTATTGACACTTAGCAGTCACGAACTAATAGGAAGCCTACAGAACTGAGAAGAAGTGAAAATACATTTCACGGAGTGACTCTTATGAGTCCCCCTCCACACACTCAAACAAGGGCCTGTTTTCAAGAGTTGCACAGTGACAGTGTTTATGACTGATCCCCAAGAGGCTACCTAGTTCACATCTCCCTCCAGCATGTAAACACCTGTACACACAACTGCATATAATTATTCAAAGCCGATATTCTGATCACCTGCTAAACTGTCTTAAAATGGCATTACCATCCAGCTTTTTTAAAGTGACTTCATAGTTTCCTTCCTGTTTCACTTTCTTTTTTTTTCCCCCAAGGCAGGCTTTCTCTGTCTAACCTTGGCTGTCCTGGACTCACTTTTCTGGCCTCGAACTCAATGATCCACCTGCCTCTGCCTCCCTGAGTGCTGAAATTAAAGGTGTGTGCCACTATGGCCAGCTCCTTTGTCCTTTAGAGTAACAGCCAGTATCCACGGCAGACCAAATCACTCACTTCCAAAGAACATGAAGAGCACAAAGAGAACTGGGTAGAAATAGCTGAAGCAGACAGCGAGGGCGTATTCATGCACCACAGCTGAGATGGCGAAGACAGCCAACATGGCAGCAGATTTGAACCTCTTCGTGAAAAACTAAGGCACAAAGAAAATATCAAAGAGTTAGTAACTTAAAAAAGATAGTACTCATCAACAACAATATGAGACATAATCATTACATGCTAAAGGTACCTACTTAATCATATTTGACTTGCCAAGCCTACTCCTTAGTTTAATCTAACTATTAAAATAATTACAAGAACATGCTCAGTGCTCTAATTTGGATATGAAGTGTCCTGCCTAAAGGCGCATGTGCTGGGGGCTAGCTTTCTAGACTGTAATACTGTTTTGAGAAGTTCCAGAAACACTGTTCAGCCAGGTTTCATATACTGCAGGCTAGTCTTGAACGCCTGATCTTTTTCTCCTCCACCTGCCAAATGCTCACAGAACCACACGAGGCTCCTATTTCAATCATCAGAGGAACACTGTAAAGAACATAGGGCAGGCAGGCACCCTTTCCAAAACTAAGGCTTTAAAATAAGAGGCGTGCCTCAGCAACACAGGACTTCACTGTTAGTGGGAACGCTCACAATCTAACACACGACTGCTTCCTTAGGACGCTGTCAGCCACCAAGGCAGATGACCCTCCTGCTTAACAATGAAAACTGCTTCAGAGACACCAGTGTCAGCCAGCAGTACAGACTAAACTTAGTTACTCTAAGTACATTATACTCTAACGCATGGCTCACAGAAACCCGCCTCTGGATGGAGAGATGTAAAACTTTTAATTTTTTTATGTACATTGGTGTTTTGCTGGCACGTATGTCTGTATGAGGGTTTCAGATCCCCTGGAACTTGAGTTATAGACAGTTGTGAGCTGCCATGCGGATGCTGGGAATTGAACCTGGGTCCTCTGGAAGAACAGCCAGTGCTCTTAACTGCTGAGCCATCTCTCCAGCCTGCAAATCACTTTTAACAAAGAAACAAATCCAAGTGAAAGTGGGTGTGGTGGGCAGCAGCAAGAGGATCTCTGCAAATTTTATGCCTTCCTGGTCTACAAAGGGAGGAAGAGGGAGGGGAGAGGGAAGAGAGTAAGAGGGAGATGGTGTAGGATGGTGAGAGAGAAAATGTGTGTGAAGGTAGAGGGAGATTATCTGTGGGCAATGAGATTCCCAAAGGTCCTTGGAAGGGAGTCACTTCAGCTCCTACACACAGAACTGTAATTTTGTAACCAGGTGGTGAAGCCCAGAGAAAGGCATGCTATTGTCCTAGTAATGTATATAATGGTTTTCATTATCAGTACATGTCACAGCATATGGGTTCTTAGATGTAAACTTCTAGTGAAATGGACCAGAAACTATAACCCCTTCTTCACAGGTAATTAAACAAGCTTTTCCAGCTTATGCAGCAAAGTGTGTAAAAGAATCCCCAACTCCTTCATGTTTGTTTGGCTGGCTTTTGTTTTGAGACAGGGCCTTACTGTGTAGCTCTGGCTGGCTTTCCTGAAACTTATGATGCAGACCAGCCTGGCCTCAAACTCATGAGATCCTGCCTCTGCCTCCCAAGGACCGGGAGGTGTGTGTCACCATGTCCAGACTTTTTTGTAAAGATTTGCTTCTTGTGTTTTGATGTGTATACTCGTGTACCACATGCACTCAAGAACTGGCAGAGGCCAGAAGAGGATCTCTGATCTCTGGAACTGTAGTTACATGTGGCTGTAAGAGGCATCACATGGCTTCTGAGAACAGAACCCAGGTTTCCCCGCAGGAGCAGCGAGCACTCTTAACCGCAGAGCATCTCTCTGGGCCCCTCAACGTCCCTCTATTTTACATAACACCAGCTAGGTCTTGCTGCTTACCCAGAGGAGGTCCTTGTAAGCATAGTAGTAGAGCCAGTCATGAACCACCACATTCCAGGTCCTGTAGTAGTTGGAGTAGGACGTAGAGTTCCACCAGTCCTGAGGGGGGTTGGGGGAAGGAGTAAAATCATACACACAGCAAAACCCCTGACCACTTCCAAAGAGCACATACACCCGATACAAAGCCTGGATTACATTATGATAAAATTGTTAGTCCATACACAGATGCTAAAAATCCCAAAAGGCGTTTGGGTGGTTAGTACCCAATTAGTAACGTGTGTTAGCGCTATGCACTGGTTAAGTCTCAGGGTGCATTTTGTCTCATTATCAAACACGCTAGGATGGAAGATACAGAACACACTACAATCGAACTTTAGTGTTTGCCCTAACAGCAGTCAGTAAATTTCCTCTGCACCTTGTTAACCTAAGAGAACTGAGCACATGTGGAAATGGACCAACTGAGACCACCATAGCAGCACTGAATTACAAAGGGAGCCAGATGGTGCTCCCAATGACCATCTTCTTGCTCCCAATTTGAAGGTAAGACTAATAGAATCAGACATCTAAACTTTACCATCCACCTTTCTTTGAGAAGGGAGTGGCCGACTTGAAGGCAAAACAACAGAACTTGACAAGGCCAGCTTCAGAAGCCTAATGATACCGTTTAAAGCAGAAACCACCGCTTTGAAAGGGAAGGAAGTTACTTCCCTTGTGAACTGCTCAGCAGTCATGCATGCTCTAACCTGCTGGGGCCGCTTTATAAAATGCAACAGCCAATCTGAAATGCACAGTGAAGGGGCTGGCATAATGCCCTCTGACAAACACTTTCCCACCACAGCCATCACTATCGTCACAGGATCCAACAGAACTATATACTCTTTGTGGAGGTGGGAAGGAATTAAGCCAAGACAAGGTTTTACTCTACTGTAGCCCAGGCTGGCCTGGAACCCACAGTAATCACCCTGCCTCGGCTTCCTGAATATGTACCAGCACCCATCCCCTGTCTAAAGGGAGCAGGGGCCAGAGGGTTACATTAATTATACATGTGTCAGGGCTTCAGATCTAAAATTGCTAAAACTGGTAGAAAAAAAATTATCTCACAGGATTTATGTCAAAAAGCTGGTAATACTAGTCAACAAAACTCAACACTTAATATGGAGATAAAATGGAACATGAGGGCTGGCAGGATGGCCCAGCAGGTCAATGGGCTTGCTGGCAAACCCGACAGGCTGAGTTCCATCTCTGGAACACACACGAACTCTGTGGTACATGTGTGTCCCCTCTCCCCAACCCTAATAAATTTTTAAAATTTATTAGAAATGCCAGGCATGGCGGCACAGGCCTTTAATCCCAGTACTTGTGGGGCAGAGGCAGGTGGATCTCTGTGAGTTCAAATCAGCCTGGTCTACAGAGCAGGTTCCAGGACAGTCACAACTACACAGAGAAACATACAACTAGGGAAAAAAAAAAAAAAAAACAGAATATGAAAAAACGAGAGCAAATATACAATACCTTATAAAACATCCTGTCCCCAAAGCGTAACATCTCAGCGAAGGCATTGAGCCAACAGTGCAAGAAGGCAAAAAATGAAAGGAACAGCATCAGCACACCTGAAAGCAAGAGTGACAACTGAGGAGCATTCCCACAGCTGGCCATCATGAATGCGCTGGCCTGTGTAGCCTGCACTGATACAGTACACTTTAGAAAGCTGGGTGACTTTAACTTTAAAATAATTTATTTCTGTGTAATTTTTACAGAAGGTAGATGGGTCCAGCCTAAATATAGAGCTGAACTTGGTGCCCAAAACCCTTTCACTCTCCCCTGGGGGCTGCAAACACCATCTACAATGTGATTTCTGCCATTCCAAAATATTCCAGGCCTTTCTATCTGTCCTTCTGTCTGAAAACCTTCCCATCACTTTTCTCCAGGCAGTACTTTTTAATTAAAATTTTTAATTGTGCGTATTTTCAATGATCAATGTTAAATGTCATGAGAAACAGAGCTCACGAGGTCATTCTGCTTATATAGCACTTCCTACACTATATCGTAAAATACTCACTGCAGGCCCACCTATTTTATTTGCTTGTTCAAAAAAGATTCATCAAGTTTTTGCTGGACAATACAGGATAAACTGAAAGTGTCTTTAAAATATGATCCTTGGGGCTGGAAAGATGGCTCAGTGGTTAAGAGCATGGACTGCTCTTCAGAAGTCCCGGGTTCTATTCCCAGCACCCACATGATAGCTCACAACTGTCTGTGACTTCAGTCCCAGGAGATCGGACAACGCTCTTCTAGCCTCCAAGGCCACTGCGAGCACATAGTGCACGTACATTAAGCAAACACTAATATATATAATATAAAATAAATAAAAAATCTTAAAATATTATCCTTAATCTCCAATGAGCTTGTAGCCAAGGAGGTTAAGTTACCCAGGAGGAGTTATTCCTGTTATAGGAAGGGAAGGCGGATGGTGACAACAGACTTCACTAAATGTAGAGACAAGAACGTTAAGTCAAGGAAGCTCTTAAGTGTGAGCTTCCAGAAGTAAAGACTGTGTTTGCATTGCTCACAACTGAGTCCTTGGCACTGGCACACAGTAGGAACTCGTGTATGACCAGAAACAAGTGCACAAACTAAGGGATAAGGAGTGGTGAAACGCAGAAAGATAAGCAAGAGTGGCAAACTGAGACTTCAACATGTGGCCAGGGCATCCTGAGTCTCCTAGAGGTCATTCTGGAAATGGCTAAGCCATGGTTTAGCACTGGATTACTGATCACTTGAACAATGGGTAGTTGATGGCCTGGTGAGACTAAAAGACTGCAGAGAACCTAACAGGAAAAGGAAGCTACACACGGATGTGGACTGCCCAGTGCTGGAGGTGAAACTAGAGGGACATTTCCCTTCTGGGGCACGCAGAGAAGTGGTGGATGGGCATATCTACCACCAAGTTCACAGGAAGAATCAGGGAACTAAAGGAACCTGCAGACAGCAGCTTCCTTCCTGACTATATACATGTATTAATGAACACCCAGGTTACCTGGCAAGATGGAGTTAAATACACAGAGGACCAGAACCCGAGCGCTGAAAGGCTCCTGTTTGATATTCCGGAACAGCGGGGTACAAAGTCTCTCAAAGATGTAGTACACATAAAACAGGCAGCCGAAAACCTGAACACAGCAAAGAAAACCATGACATCTGGGTGAAGAAAGAGGAAGGGCATTTTTTTCCCTCAAAAGAAATAGATATTTGACTAGTATTTACACATATTTCATTTACCCCAGCATATACGACAGCCACACTCCTTTAGAGAGGTTGTTCAAGCTTCGTTTCTGCCCTGGTTTTTGTGTTTTTCCCTAATCATTTACTGAAGACCATGTCTTGCTGTGTAGCCCATGCTGGCTTCAAACTCAATAATCATCCTGCCTCAGCATCCTGAGTATTAGGTTTATAGACACACGTCACTACACCTGGCCCAAATAGCATCTAAATCCAAGAACATGTTTATAAAGCCTACAATAAGACAACTCATTTTACAACTGAGTATTTGACTTGAACAGAATTTAAAATGGGAATTTCTGGGATTTATGATTCTCAAAAGGAGTGAGGATAAAATAACACACACACAGCACCCCCACCCAGGAAAGGCAAAGGGAAATCTATGTAGGTTCTTACTGAAATAACAAAACAGAGTTACTTTAATTTGAATATTCTCCTTTAATGACAAGAATGACCTTTGACGCTGGCAAAGCGCCTACCAGCACCTGCATCAGGGCAGCTCAAAAGGCATCTTAACAAAAGCTTTTGATCTGAACTGCTTGTTGACGTACATTATCCAAAAAAAAATTTTTTTTTTGAGCCAGGGTCTCATTATACAGTCCTGGTTGACACTAGAACTCAGAGATCCCCCTCCTCTACCTCCCAAGTGCTAAGATCAAACATACAAGCCACAACCCCTGGCTCAACCAACATTTTAAATGGATTAAAAAAGAGTCAGCCATGATGGCGCATGCCTTTAGTCAAGCACTTGAAAGGCAGAGGCAGGTGCATCTCTGTGAGTTCTATGCCAGCCTGGTCTATACAGTGAGCTCCAGGACAACCAGAGCTGCGTAATAGAGAAATCCTGTCTCAAAAAGATTTACAGGGCTGCAGAGATGACTCAGTGGTTCAAAGCGCTGGCTCCTTTTCCAGAGGATCTGCATTCAATTCCCAGCACCCACAGGGAGGTCACACCTGTCTGTAACTCCAGTTCCAGGGCTTCCGACACCCTCACACAGACACACACATAGGCAAACACCAATTGATATAAAATAAGAATAAATCATACATGTTTTTAAAGCCCATTTGGTCTTTGTCGTTATTGTTGTTTTTCTCAAGACAGGGTTTCTCTGTGTAGCCCTGGCTATCCTGGAACTCACTCCATAGACCAGACTGTCCTCAGACCAAACGATCTGCCTGCCTCTGCCTCCTGAGTGCTGGGACTAAAGGCGTGCACCATCACCACCCAGCAAGAAGCTGGGTGACAAATATATAAAAATATATAAATATACAAATATATATGTTTATATATCAATAACATCCAAGGCCTTTCTAAAGTTACCTGTAAAAACTGTGTAGCAACGTAACCCCATCGTACAGTGGGAGTCCTAAAGAGAAAGAGGGAAAAAGGTTTCTTAAATAAGCAGTGAACGGTTTCTGTTGTCCTTCTATCCACAGTGTAAATTGCCTAACAATGTTTTTTTACACAGAACAGCATTCATGGGCTAGAGGAATAGCTTAATAGGATACTGTGTAGTTTAGCCTCCAAGCCTTGAATTTGATCTCCAACCTCCTCCCACAAGCTTTAACATCAAAATCATGACAAAATGATATCATTCTATCAAGAATTATGAATAAGGATTGGCCCGCTAGAATGAGCACGGGAGGCATTCAATTTTTCCTGTAGCCTTGTATGGACTGCCCTCCTCCAAAGCTGTCCCCTCACTGCAGCACCTCAGGTGCTCCGCACATTTCCTCCCCATTGCAAGGTTACCTCGGATAGCTGTCTCGGTAAATAAGTGTAGGAGCAAACAGGAAGTACAGGTACTGGTTGACTGTGGGTACTGGAACTGTGCCTAAAAAAGGAACACTATTGAATTACAAGATCCTTGACGTCTCCCAGCAAACTGGAAGAGCCAAAAGAGGCAACAGGAACAGGGAAGGGGGGGTGGTAGTGTGCACATCCAGTACTGAGGAGGCAGAGGCAGCATCTCTGTGAGCTTGAGGCCAGCCTGGTCTACAAAGTGAGTTCCAGGACGGTCATGGCTATATAGAGAGACCCTGTCTCAAAAAAACAAAACACACACACACACACACACACACACACACACACACAAAAAAAAAAAAAAAAACAGGAAGGAAGGAAGGAAAGAGGGAGGGAGGGAGGAGGAGGAGGAGAAGAAGGAAGGAAGGAAGGAAGGAAGGAAGGAAGGAAGGAAGGAAGGAA